TGTGAAATACTGAGCTTTCTGACACATGACCACAGTATAGTTTCATTTATTTAGGTCATCTTAAATTTCTCACCAATGCTTGATGGTTTTTACTTTGTAGGTCTTACACATCTTTTGTCAAGTTTATCACTAAGTATTTCATATTTTTGATGTGATATTAAATGGTAGTGTTTTGTGCCTATTGATGTGATCATACCAGTTGATGCAGAAAAATCATTTGAGAAAATTCTATAACTATTCCTTATTAAAGTTATTAGCACAGTAGGGATAGAAGGGAAAGGTCTCAAGCTAATAAATGGCATCTACAAAACTCTAAAACTAACAATGTAGTTAATGGAACAAGATTATTCAACATTATAGGGGAGGTTCTAGCCAGCAAAGCAAGGCAAGACAAAAAAAAAAAAGCATCAAGTTTGGAAAGCTAGAAGTAAAACTGTCTTTATTCACAGATGAAATTATAGTTTTATGTAGAAAATTCAACTGAATCTACAAAAGATTAAAGCTAGCAAGTGAGGTTAGCAAGGTTGTAGGTTATAAGATAAGTATACAAAAATCAATTGTATTTCTAACAAAAAATGTGCAAGACCTGTGTACTAAAAATTACAAAGCATTAGTGAGAAATTCTTTAGATAAAATACAAGCCCAACCAAGAACAATGGACAATTAAAATTAAATGCACTTTTTAAAATCACTTCAAAATATAAAATATTTAGTGATAAATCCTTACATTACTGAGATTAATCACACTTGGCCATGATAAATCATCTTTTTATATATTTTGGAGCACTGTACTAAAATTTTGTTTGGGATATTTGCATCTAAATTCACAAGGAATATTGGATTTGGGTCTTCTTTTCTTAAAATATTTTTTGTTTGGTTTTGGGTAATGCTGGCATCATTGAATGAACAGGAAATTATTCCCTCTTCATCATTTCTCTGCAAGTATTTGTGTAAAATTACTATTACTTCTTCCTTAAAGCTGTGGTAGAATTCACCAGTAAACCCATTTGGACCTAGAGTTTTCTTTGTGGGATGGTTTTTAAGCACAAACTGAATTTCTTCAATAGAAATAGGCCTTATTCATGTTATCTATTTCTTTTTGAGTGAGGTTTGGTAGTTTGTATATTTCAAAGAATGTTTTCATTTCTTTTAAGTTGTCAAATTCTTTGGCATAACATTGCTCATGATACTTCCTTATTATCCTATTATTAACTGAGGAATCTGTTCTGATAATGTTTCTTTCATTCTTGTTATTGGTAATTTTTGTCTTTTTTGTTTTTAGTCTGGATATAATGTATCATTTTTCTGGTTCTTTTCTTTTCTTTTCTTTTCTTTTCTTTTCTTTTCTTTTCTTTTCTTTTCTTTTCTTTTCTTTTCTTTTCTTTTCTTTTCTTTTCTTTTCTTTTCTTTTCTTTTCTTTTTTTTCCTTTGGAGAGAAGATTTTGTTCTGTTGCCTGGGCTAGATGGCAGTGGTGTCATCACAGCTCACAGCAACCTCAGACTCCTCCTGGTGTGATCCTCCTGCCTCAGCCTCCTAAGTAGCTGAGACTACAAACACATGCCAGCACACCTAGCTAATTTTATGTTATTAATATTTGTAGAGATGGAGTCTCACTATGTTGCCCACACTGGTCTTGAACTCATAGTCTCAACTGATCATCTCACCATGGGCTCCCAAAGTGCTAGGATTATAGGTATGAGCCACTTCATCTGGCCTCCTGGTTTTTTTAAATAGCATTGACTTTTGAAGTTTTCTTTTTCTTAATTTATTCTTTCTGTGGTTTTTTTTGCTGCTGTTGTTGTTGTGGTGGTGGTTTTTGAGGCAGGGTTTTGCTATGTTGCCTAGAGTGGCCTTGAACTCCTGGGATTAAGTGACTTCACTATATCTTACCTGTACTGACCAAACCTGAATAAAGATTTTCATTCTAACTCTTTTGTAGCAGGGATTACAAAAGCACACCACAACACCCAGCTATTTTTTGTTTTTATCTTTATTTTTTTATTATTATTATTTTAGTTTGCTTTTCTTTTTCAAATTTCTTAAGGTGGAAATTAAGATCATTGACTAGAGACTTTTCTTGAGATTTTTCTTCCTTTCTACCATAAGTATTTAATGTTATATATTTCCTATAAGTACTGCCTTAGTAGTATTCCACAGATTGAAAAATATCATGCTTTCATTTTCATTCAGTTCAAAATACTTTCTTGTTTCCCTTGGATTTTTTTCTTTGATGAAAGGGTTATTGATAAGTGTTAGGTTTTAAATATTTTGGGATTTTCAGATATCTTTCTGTTAGTTACTTCTACTTTAATTCCACTGTGATTAAGGAAAATGCTTTGTAAGACTTCAATCTTTTTAAATATATTAAAACTTTTTTTATGGTCAAAATATTATTTATCTTCGTAAATTTTTTTGTATATTTTAAATAAATGCATATTCTCCTGCTTTAGGGTAGAGTCTTCTATAGATATCAATTAGGTCAAGTTGATTAATAATGTTGTTCAAGTCTTCTATAGCCTGATATATATTCGGTCTACATATACTATCAAATATTGAAAGTAGTATTTTGAAATCTCTCACTATAATTGTGGATATGTCTTTTCTTCCCTGCAGTTTTATTAGTCTTTTTCTTCATAGATTTTGGATGCATGAATATTTAAAGTTGTTATGTAGTCTTGATGAGAGTACTCTGCTACATATTATGAAATGATCTTTATCCATGACAATATTCTTTCCTTCAAAGTCTTCTTTGATATTAATATAGCCACTCCAGTTTTCTTTTGATTAGTGTTATCATGGTTTCTTTTTCCATCCCTTTATTTCTATAATTTTAAACCTATTGTTATCTTTATATTTAAATTGTGTTTCTTTTATGAGGCTTATGGTTGAGTCTCGCTTTTTATTCAATCTGACATTTGCCTTTGGTTGGAATATTTAGATCATTTGATTTTATGTGATTATTGATATGGTTACATTGAAGTCTGTTATCATGCCATTTGTTTCCTATTTGCTCTATCTACTCTTTGATCCTTTTTTATTATTTTCTGCTTTCTTTTATATTGAGTATTTTTTGTAATTTTTAATGATGTCTTTTATAATTTTTAGTTTTTTCTTTTGTTGGCTTATTATCGACAACTTTTTATTTTATTATTTCAGTAGCTACTTTAGAGTTTATAATATACAGGTTGAGTAACCCTTATCTGAAATGCTTGGGAACAGAAGCATTTGTATTTCTAATTTTTCTGAATTTTGGAATAGTTGCATTATATATACTTACTCGTTGATCATCTCAAATTTGGAAATCCAAAATCTGAAATGTTCCAATGTGCATTTTCTTTGAGTATCATGTTGGCACTCAAAAGGTTTTGAATTTTGGAGCATTTCATATTTTGGATTTTGGGATTTGGAATGCTCAGCTTGTATATCTTTAAGTTACCACATTCTATTTTCAAAGTATATTTAACATATCACATATAGTACAAGAGCCTTCCATTTCTCTCTTCCAGGCCTTTCTCCTATTGTTGGCATACCTTGTGCATTCCTATAAATTTAGACTCTACATTGCATTCTTATTATTTTTGTTTAAGCAGCCAGTTATTTAAAAAACACATTTAACTATTTTAAAAAATCTTCTATATTTAGTAATTACCATTTGTGTAGTTTTCATTCTTTTCTGTAGATCCATATTTCTATCTGATATAATTTACCTTCTTCTTGAAGGACCTTAATATTTATTGTGGTACAGTTTTGCTCTAAAAGTTTTTATTTTGTGTTTGTTTTGGAAAGAAGTTTTTGTTGGGTATAGCATTGTGGGTTGAGAGGTTGTTTTCTCATTACTTTATATATGTTGCTCAACTGTCTTGCTTTCGTTATTTGTGATGAGAAATCTACTGTCATCCTTCTCGTCTTTCTTGGTATGTGACATATCTTTCTTTCTGGCCCATTTTAAGATTTTCTCTTTTTCACTGGCTTTGAATAATTTGGCTATGAGTTGCCTTGGTATAATTAATTATCTTTACGTGTCTTATGATTGAATTCACTGATCTTCTTGGATATGCAGATTTATAGCTGTCATCATATTTAGAAAATGCTGGCTATTATTTTTTGAAAAATTGAGATTCCAAATACATGTATATGGGCCACTTTGTTGTTCCACAGCTCACAAATCTATTTAGATTGTAAAATTCTTCTTTTTATCTTTGTATTTAATTTTGGATAGTTTATATTACTAGATCTTTAAGGCCAATAATCTTTTCTTTTGCAATATCTACTCATCCATATATTTTTCATTCCAGACATTGAAGTTTTCAACTCTAGAAATTTAATTTAGTTATTTTTCTGATCTTTCTTGCCATTACTTAATGTTTTGAACACTGGAAGTTCACTGTTTCAATGTACTTATTTGGTAATCTTAACATTTATGTAATCTTTTGGTTTATTTTGAATTAGTTATTTTCCCCCATAATATATTTTTCAGCTTGTTTGCATGCCTGGTAACTTTTAACTGGGTGCCAGATATTGTAAATTTTATTCTTTTGAGTATTAAAAAATTTGAACTTCTTATAAATATTCTTGTGCTTAGTTCTCAGTCAATGTTAAGTTACTTGAAAATAGTTTGATTGCTCAGGCCTTGCCTTCTAGATTAGGAGAGCCCAATGTAGATCTTAGATTAGGGCTAATTATTTTCACTACTGAGGTTTTTCCACTATTTTCTGTGTACTTTACCCAGTGCCTCATTAACTATGAGTTTTTATGGTCTGGTTGGTGGGAACACTATGCTATGTGAGTGCTGATGGGTATGATCCTTTTAGGTAGTTTTTTCCCCAGCCTCAGGTAGTTTTATCACATGAATGCAGTCATTAGTACTCAAGGCAGGAGCATTATTCAAGGGGAATTTTGGGAGTTTTCACTCCGCAATGCCTCTCCTCTTCTGCACTCTGTTCTGAAAACTGTAAGTGCCTTGATGTTTTTGGACTTTGTCTCTGTTTTCTCAAAACAGGGAAGCCACTGGATTTCCCCTGGGTTATGCCTCTCATCTGCAAACTCCCTTAAGGCAAGAACAATCATATGGCTTACCCATCCCTCAGAGACCATTGCCCTTTGTTTCTTGGTGTTCTGTGTCCTGAAAAGTGTTGTATCGTATATTTTGTACAGTTTTCGGTTGCTTCAGGTTAGTGTATATACATAATTCCCATTACTCTGTTTTGGTTGAAAACACAAGTTTTTGTTGTTAAATGGAATTTTTCATTAGCTTTATTTCATTAGGGGCAGAAAGACCCAATGAGTTCTGGTTTTTATATATCCCAAGTCTTTCATCTTGCTCTAGCTAGTCTATGGGTAATTTTTGGTGAATTTTTTTGTGGATATTTATAAAGAAGATATATTATTCATTTGAAGGGTATTAAGTTTCTAATGTAAAGATATAGAGCTTGGCTATATTCTTATGAAATAAAACTAAGAAAAGTATATGTTTACAAAAATAGAATAGAACAGAAAAAAAAATAAAATAAGAAATGAAATTTTCTTCTAGTTTAAAAATATATAACCAGGCCCTCTTCCAAAGTTAAGTATTTCTTACTTTTTTTGTATAACTTTTATGAATTTACTAGAAAATTTCTATATATCTTTTTATCCAACCATATTGTACTTATTAACCTAGTTTATTTGATTAAAGTAGCACATAAATGTTCTCTTTTGTGAATAAATGTGTGTAGCATATTCTATACTCAATGTTAATCATTAATTAAATTCTTTTAGAAATTTATTAATTATCAAATTGGGATTATTTCCCCATTCCCTTCATGATGCCAAGTAGATCCAGGTCCTCGGTTTGTGTTTTAAAATTAGGTATAACAAAAATATCTTGGAAATAGGCTCAAGGGACATAGGTTTTGGTCTTCACCACACTTTTATAAGCTCGTACTATGTGCAAGTCATTTATCCTTTCTGAGCCTCAGTTTTCTCATCTGTCATTAAATTACACTGAATTAGATTATATTTAATATTAATTCAAATTATGAAGCTATATGTTCATACTTACGTCTCTTCCTTAGGGCATTATCAATACACAGAAGACTTCTGTTGGAAGCCAGGTCTGTCACTGGCAGGTGGTAATGAGAGTATATCTGCCTGACCCTCATATTCACCATGGTCTTGCACCGGATATTTGATATTATGGCCAAGTGATGATTTACACGTTATTGCAGAGAAACTCTGATATAAATGAAAGAAAATGCTAATCGTGTAGGTTTATGCTCTCATCTCATTACTAGACCACCCCTTTTGTAGTAAGTTATAAAATATTTCTGTAACTATCCTGGGAAAAGCACGTTTATATTGCATTGCATTTTTAAGTTAAAATGTTAATTTGTGAAGCAGAAATATTTAAATTATGCTACAGCTTTTGTTAGTTCATTTTGAGATTTCTTTAATGTTTAATAAATGGTGAGAATAAAAATAATGAATGGCCTGATCCTCTCTTGACTTGAGGGTCTCTGGTGAAGCATGTGTGTCATAAGGATGAAAGCTAATATGCAATATCTCAATTAAAGAGCTTGGACTGGCTCTCACAATCCTACCAGCTGAGGCCATATTTTGAGTTTGTTTTCCTTCAACTTATATGCACATATACATATGGTAGGCCTGAGATAATGAGATTCTTTTCAGTTTAAGCTGCCTGTAGTTAGACATATGAACAAAACACCTCCGTATAATTTGCCTTCCTTCACGGCATTTACATGCATAGATGTGTTTTGATTTGCCTTTGTGTAGCAAATACTATGTTGCATGGGCCAAAAACATTTCACCATCAGAATTAGAGATTGTAAGCACAGCTGATTTTTAAGAATATTTTGGGCAGCTGCAGAATTGTGATGACTATCCACCAGGCATTTCATCCCTTCTTTGCCCAAATTGAGTCACTTTCTATCTTAAGTCTAACTTGACACAAAACAAAAAATCATTCTTTGCTTACTGATGGCATAAATATACAAAAGTAAAACAAAACTAAATAAGAGACATGTCTAATGGAAAAGCTTTACGTTTAAGAAATGTGTAGATAATTTTGAAATTAATGTAAGCCAATACCCACTCATGTATCATTGGGCCAGAAGTTTATCTTCCTTAATTTCATCAGAAATTGTCATTGACTTCTGAAAAATTATGTAGGGTTAGAAATTTCCCTATTATTACAAAAATAATATTATGGGGTAAATAAATATTTTGATTATGATGCTATTAAGGGAAATTGATACTTGATTTAAATTTGTATGAGAGAAGATTTGAATCTGAGATGAAAACTTATAATTCTGGCTAAATTTAGGGATAGTCCTTGTAACCACTTTCTAAAGTTCTTTCAGCTGTTCCATTTATACAGTCCCTCCTATTTGTTACTGTATATTCCTTACTTTAAGAAAACCAGCTTATTTTATACTTTCATCAATCCCATATTAGTGTTATTAATCCCATTTTGCAGAGGGAGAAACCAGGGTTTACCAGACAAGTCACAGGATTGGAAAGGAGAAAGGCCCAGGTTTTAATCCAGCCCTGCCTGAGGCAAAGGGCCTGTGTATTCCACTCAGAGGCACCAACTCCTGCGTGAGTTAGTGTCTCGGTCCACCGCCCACTCACGTTCCAGTGGTGCCTAGCAGTGGGGGATGGGGCCTCTTGTGGGCAGGGCCATTTGCTTCCTGTGAGCTTACTGTTGCCTGTCTACTCCCAGGCTACCTTTAACCATCCGACCCTGCCAGTCCAAGGTTGGGCACATTGCTTTCCTTCCCCCATGCACAATCCAGTCACCTTCTTTGTGCAGGGAGCTAATTTGATATGAGACTGACTTTTAATGGGTCATGCCACTCAAATAATGGCTGCTTTCTCCCCCTCAACTTCCTACTCAGTGCCGTACCTGGTGGGGGCAATGCCTGAACTTCATGTTGCCCACAGTGTTTTGAGGAACTAGTATGTGTTAGAAGAAAAACAAAGAACTGTGGAAACCCTTGGTTAAATAAAGCTTAATAGAGTCAGAGACTTTAATATGCTAATCTGCTTTGTGATAAGAGTTTTCAAGGGAGAAAGTTAGTGTGCAGGACATCCCAAATATATTTGACCACACCAAGTTACTTTGTTTTATTAATGGAATCCTTTAGGTGAATGGTATTTCATGCATGTAAGACACTTTGAAAAATTGTTGGCTTAACATAAAGAAGTGGTAGGTGTAAGGCCTATTCCAGGTCCATTTGCCGTCGCATAGCCTATGTGTAAAATATGTCCTTTGGGTCATTCATTCACCCTTTCAGTAGGAATTTCTTAAGCCCTTGATAGGTGAGTAGGAACATATTTTGGGAAGGTTTTCTTTCGTAACATTCGAGTTATAGCAAATTGATAGTGTTTTTCTTTTTCTTTTCTTTCTTTCTTTTTTTTTTTTTTAAATAAGGCTGAGCCTACTTCTGATACTCTCTTTAGTATCAAATTGGGCAGCCCTTTTGGGGGAAACTGCATAGAGGAGACATCACCATGGAGCCTGCGGGTGCCCCTGGCAGAGTGAGAATGGGGATGGGAGAGGGAAAACAAGTGCTTGAAGCCAAGAAGAAAGGCTGAATCCATGAGGTTCACAACACAGGTGTGCATATATGTGATCACTGATGAAAGCAGGCGAGTGTTTTCTTCTGGAAGGCATCATGGAAAAGGTGAGTCCTGAGCTCAACTTTACAGGAGGGCAGACTTTGGCAGAAGACTGCTAAGTCCTCTGGCCGAGGCAGGGAATGTGTGAGGGTAGAAGTGGTGAGTCACATCCTGGAGACAGTAAACAATTGATTTCTGCTTCCTCTGTGTCCAGGCACGTCTAATCAAGTTTATTCCCCTTTTCAGAAGAAAAGGGAAAAGCATGGGGACAGGGAGGACATGCACTCTCATAAATCCTTCCCTCTGACCAATTTGATGCTACGTATCCATACAGATTTACCTCTATGTAACCATATTCACATTGTAAGAAATATTGTTGGTTGAACAGCCGTATTAGTAAAAGTCAGCATTTTTGAATTCAAATTGGGATCTCGGAAGTTCAAAGAATCAAAAATGATGTCCAGGAGCAGTAGCCCAACCAGAAGAGCCTCAGAAGCAGCCAGATGGAGATGCCTTTGCCCTGCAGGCAGGGATGGGCAGGCAGAGCACCCAAGGCACTGGAGCTCTCCTGCCTCCCTCCTCTTCACCCTGCCCATCCTGCCTGCCCACCCTCCCTGCTTCCTTCTCACTAGGCTCTGGGTGCTACTCTGCGTAAAAGACTCATGCCAATTTTCTATATAGGAGGCAAATCAGCCTTTTAAAAACATAAATTGGATCATATCGCTTCCCTTGTTCAAAATTCTTTGGTGGTTGCCTTCTGCCTTTAGAATAACATTTCTATCCTTCGCTGCAGCTGCTGCGCCTGGGCTCTCCCCTCCCTTTTTACTAAAGGTGTCACCTGTACTGGCTTTGATTTTCCACCTTGGAGCCTCCTGCATAATTGTTCCTACCTTCCTCTTTTGCCATCAGGGGTTGGCAAACTATAACCACAGACTGGTTTTGGCCTTTGTCTTGTTTTTGTAAGGCACTTGAACTAAGCAAAAATAGCTTTTAAAGCGTTGTAAAAAAATATGCAGTAAAGATCCAACGTGGTCTGGAAAATCCCCAATATTTACTATCTTGTGTTTTATAGCAAAAATTTGCCAACTCCTGATCTAGATCCATTTCTCTCTACCACACATTCTAGTTATGTTCTTTATATCATGTACCCCACCCTGCAATTATATTCTCATTAGTGTCTTTTCTCATTGACTGTTTTGCCTCCTGCCTCTGCAAGGAACAGGGGCCATCCTTGCAGATTTTCCAGCTCAGTGTCCAACTCAGCATGTAGTTGTACATCCTTGTAGAGTGTACAGTGTAGAGTGTCTGACATGTGTCCTGCTGCTGTGAGCAGAGAACATGACCCTGCGTTCCTAGGGCTGGGCATAGTGGACACCTCTTGTGAGTTTCACAGACCTATCAGTATTCTTGTGGGGAGTTGGGAGGCTGCCCCCCTTCCTTTGCGATGCTGCAATTATAG